CTAGATTTGATCAAATAGAATGTTTTATTAACTGTGAAATTTATCTGTAAACTAGTACATGTAGGTATTCTCAAACATCTGTGCTTCCACAATTGATATTGTGCAATGTACATTGTAAGTGCTGGTAGTGTGACAATATTAATCCTTTGGGTCCAACTGTATTTCTCAGATTACACGTACAGTGGTGAGTGGTAAACATTTTATATCTTTTCTCTGAAGATTAAGGTGTCAACTTGAGGCGTAAGGTACCCTGAAAATTCTTGCACAACTTTTGACTTTTATTTTTTTTATGATATAATTTCTCCAGTCCTTTACAGATGCTCCTGTACTAACAAAGAAAAGTTTTATTGACTGACTGGCTTTGAAATAGACTAATTGGAGAACTTATAAATTAACTGTCAGCCAGTTTAAATATCAAATATCAAAATATTTGGATAATGCTAAAAGTTGTTATATCAACATTTTAAAAGTCCATTAATCAATTGAATTTATTAACTTATTGCATGACGTCGCAGTGTAATTTAATACAATTTTAAATTGCTTTGATAGGCTGTTAAATTCTCGGATTAGGCAACCAATATGGCTGACAATATGAGTATTACTCTTGAAGTTCAAGAAAATATTGTAGAATTAGTAGAGTAAGTCAGTTATCTCATAAATAGTTTAACATTTACTCAAAGACGTGATCATAAGTTTTCCGACACGACTTGCTATATACCTACTTCAAATCGCCTTGGGGTACTATTTAGTGATTTGTTGGTAATTGCTTAGAACTTAGACTGGATAAAAATCCACCCAATTTCAAGAATTGAATTTAGTAGTCGTTAAATATTTCATTTCAAAATCTGCCAAACCGATTACTGTAATCATAGGTTGTCACCTAGCCACACCTAAAGTAGTCCCCCACACAAAAATGTTTTGAATTAGATGAATTGAAGTTGTAAATATACATTTTGTGGGTGTATTAAAACATTATCAACAATGATAATAATGCACAAGGTGTGCCTCAAATTAAAGATGCTTTCCCACATTGAAATTGTGTAAATTTGGTGATATATTTGAACAAAAAACATTATCAAACTAATTTTTTTTATCAAATATTTGCTTCAAATCCTCTCAAAGCATTTCATTTTATTCCCAAGGAATATACTGCAGGCCGTAAAAATCAATTATAAGCAGGCTTGTTTGCACGTGACTTGATTGAGGGAGGGTCCATTTTCAGCTTCAAAGTATTTACCATAAATGTCTAAGCCTAAGTAAATTCTTGGATTATCTTCTGCCAATTTCTTTTAATCGAAAAATTCTGTACATTTATTTCTCTCGCTCTTTTCACAACCGCTAGCCATTCAGTCAACATACAAAGCACTCATTTCATTTGTTTATGAGAGGAAATATTCATTTAATTTTCCATGATTTCTAGTATGGTAAAGTGATGATTTGACTATCATCTGTATTGTTTTATGTAAAACCCTAGGAAATACTAGAAGCCTACATGTATCAAATTTTAGTCATTTCTGATAATTACATAATGTTGCCCTTGATCAGTGTTTATTGCCTTGTAAATGTTCCAATTACATGTACATGCAAAAGTCTTTATGGACTGCTCTATGATATAGATGCTCTAGGCATATGCTTCTTTCCCTGGCAACCTATCTTTCTGTGAGTAGGATGTTAAACCCCATTTCATTTCATTTATCTTTCTGTGGTTAAATTTAAAAAAAAAAAAATGTTTATTTTGTCCTTGTGCCTCACCCCATATTTAGGTATCTGCTGTTTCCCATTCATAAATTTCTATCATAAGTCTGTGATATTCTGCATATGTATGAGAAGTCATGTCATATTTCACCGTATTCACATTCACGATAATCAGGAAAAACTGGATTACAAAACACAAAAATTAATAGTTTTCTTGAACTTGAAGAAAGAAATAACCTCAAGATAAACATACAAACATTAATCATACTCATAAATAATGTGACATTTTGTAAAATGATGTGAGAATTTTCTAGCTTATATAGTAAAACATATGATTACTTAAAGGAAATCTCGGGGTTTTTTTAATGACCTACTCCTAATAATCTTAAAATACCACATATACACACAAACTTTCATAGTTTTTATGAAATAATGACATTTATTAAGTAACATAACATTTAAAAAATATTGTTCACATATATACTTCTGATAAATGGGAGCGGTTGTTGTAATTTTTACAAGATGAAAGTTGATTTCTGACAAGGTAAGGATAGAGAGTTTTGATTCTTATTTATAGGATTTTTTGGATTGTGTAATTTTATGGGGCTATAAAATAAGTTTATTCTGTCAGTGTGTCAGGTTTTTTGTGGATGTGTTTAGTAAATATAGAACATTTTATACAGGTCAAGGCCAGATTGAGGAAATAAGGCCATATGTGTATTGTTAAATTTTTGCGTATTTTTTTGTGTAGTATATTGTTATACATGTAGTGGGTACATGTTTACTGCTGTGTATGCAATGCCAACATACCTTGACTGCATTAGTGGATTTAATTCTTACAGTGAGTGGGATGAAAAGATGAAAACTATTTTGATGGAAAATGATAGAAAACATAACATGATTGATTTCTGCCTTGGTGTTATTGGCCTTTTGTTTTCAGTGAACTTTGATAAAGTTAGTTCAGATTTTTCTTGTTATGTGTTGTGCATGGAGCAGAGTATTCTTAGGTATCCCAGAATGACGAATATAATTTGACATTAGTGTCGCCTATGAATATTGATAATTAGTGTAGTGTATATCACAGAGCGACATAGCTGGAGAATCCGGAGTCAAATAATCACATATGTTGATGACTATATATCCTATACTGCGTGATAACTACAAGCGAATACTTGTCGAAACGTCCTGCTAAATGTTTACAAACCAGTGATTGTTTTCCATATTATAAACTATATATATCATCTGCCTGCAGTGGATGCCGAATGTTGATAAATTTTTAATTGAACCGTTTTTGGACTAATTATCCCCATTAGAGATTAGAATTTCACAATATTATAGTTTGCAAGGGATAGTGAGAGATCGAGTTTAACAAAAATTTGAAACAAACTAGGTCATTTTTGGACTAACATGGTTCATTTATTTATTTCTATAATTCGCTTGCAAGTAGGGGGTCTTTAGTAGTGGGAGGAAACCGGATGACCCAGAGAAAACACACGAGGTTGGACAGGCAACCCTACTCCTTGTCATGTACAAGTGGTGAATCAAAACCACGCCACCGGACTCAATGCGCACATATTTAATCACCCCAGAACTCCCAACCCACCCTAGTAGGCAAGTGATTAACTATCCCTCAAATGAGTTTCAGAGACTTGAAATAGGCAGAATTGTGAAATAGGTTTCAATGTCCGCTTGTACCGAGGTGATATTGAAGATAGAATTGTCTTTAACAAAGGGATACAAGAGAATACCCATGATGTCATATTGACATTATTTCTGAATCATTCTAATTAAGTATAGATCTGTAATTAACAAGGGTTAATGCTTGTATATTATATGTCGAGTCGTCTGCCTTCGTGCTTTTCGTCTGTAAATAAGTGAATAATTAGATACATGGGCAGACAGCCATACCGGGAGAAGATTCATAATTTGTTATAAATTGTTCTTATCCCTTTGTAAAGAATATTTTTGCAATAAAATATGTTTTGATGACCGGTTACTTTAATATTTAAAATACATTAGTACTCTTATTGGTCTCTTCTCAAGAAGCTTTTAATTATTCATTATTGTGATGCATTACAATAGTTTAACAAAGTTCAATCAGTAATTGAAATTATCTTCTCAGTTCAAACAATATTTACTGAAGGTATGCTACCTTAAAGGGCAATTACTGCAGTTATTCAGAAATGTTTTCAAATACAAATGAATGTAATTTTAAATCCTGTATTGTTGATAAGGCAGCAAATGTAAATCAGGGGCCTGTTTCACGGATTTTTAACTAAGATAAAATCCAAATTTTAGTAATTTGATTGGATGATATTTTATCGATTTTAGTGCTTAGCCAATCAAAATTGAAGTATCTACTAAAATTTGGATTTTATCTTTAGTTAAGATTTCGAGAAACTGGGCCCAGGACATCATAATCAACGTATAACGGGCCATATTTAAAACAATTAGGATATGGACTAATATTGTTGCGGTAAAAAGGTTTCTCTTAATTTTTTGTAATATTTACAAGTATGATATGAAATAAAACTTCATAGTTTCACATACATAAATGAAATGAAATGGGATTTACCATCCAACTGTTCTGCTCCTACTGGGGCTAATGAAGACCGGCACTTGCGGACATTGTCAAGATATTTAGATGCCTTCTGAAAGTAGGGGGTTGGATGGCTGAATGGTTAGCGTGCGCGCGCTGTATCATAAAGTCTGTCATTGAGTCGACTGGCGTGGTTTCGAATCCCCGGTTGTACGTGGCAAGGAGTAGGGTCGCCTGTCCAACCTCGTGGGTTTTCTCTTGGGTCTCCGGTTTCCTCCCACTGCTAAAGACCCCTACGCGCAAGCGAATTATGTAAATAAAATTAAACCATATGTTAGTCCCGAAATGACCTAGTTTGTGTTGAGTGGACGTTAAACCCCATTTCTCTCTCTCTCTCTCTCTTCTGAAAGTATCAGAGGTTATAAAGTGTAATTACTGTAATTATTTAGAAATGTTTTCATATATAAACAAATGTTTGCGATCATTGTAGATTAATACATTGATGTGGTAAAAAGGTTTTGATTTTTTGTGAAGGTATATCTTTTATAGGGTTATTACTGTAGTTATTCAGAAATGTTTCATTTACAAATGTATGTGATTAATGTCACATATAGTATAGATAAGTTTGGTGGATGTATTTCGAGACCGGTAAAAATGCTGAAATCGTCAGCAATGCACCAACATATTTTATAGATAGAAATCTTGTTATATTACTACATGTCGAGAATAACTTCTTATTGTTTTTTTTATCTCTTTGATGTTGCAGGTAGAGTGAAGGTGAAAATGGCACACTATTTTACTGTGTTCGTGTTTCTGATTAGTGGATTCATTGGATCACTTTCCCAGCAGCAAATGAAAAGTAAGCTTTCAGCATTCAAATACTATCCTCTATTACATAGAGGTCATTCAGATAAAATCCTTAAAAAAATATATATATATCAAGGTCACACCAATTTGATTTACATGTACTGTTCTTCGGGAACATCTGTTCCGAGTTTACTTATTTCTTTGATTCCCTGGTTGTACGTGACGAGGAGCAGGGTCGCCTGTCCAACCTTGTGGGTTTTCTCCGGGTCCTCCGGTTTCCTCCCACTGCTAAAGACCCTTACGCGCAAGCGAATTATTGAAATGAAATTGAATCATGTGTTAGTCCCAAAATGACCTAGTTTGTGTCAAGTGAAACTCTCTCTCTGGGGATGCTTGAATGTCAGCCCAGAATTGACAGAATTGCAATCAAGTGCCGTGGAATTCGGTCCTGTTATGGTTATGTCAGTCCTGACAACGGAGGTGGTATGAGTAAAATCATGATATAGTCAAACACAACGAATATGTTTCAGCTGTTGGTTGAGATATTTTCTTGTGCATTTGAAATTGAGGTCCTGTATACACATTAGTGTGCACGTAAGAGATTCATTGGCAGTTGGAATTGGATATAAGAGTTGTCCGAACAAAATTTCCCTTAATATAGCACAGTGTATGGTGTATGCCTGTCTTCATTAGCCCAGAGCGGAATGTTAGGACGTTAAACCCCATTTCAATTCACAACAATCCGGCAAGTATCATCTTATTGGCGTGTTACACTGACCAAAGAGTCTATTTCAGAATCAGATGTGAACCTTGATAGCTTAGTCATATTCCATGGCATCTTTTGAAGGATTGAAAAGAGACATTTGAATTCTATTTTGTTTGTTGTGTGGCTGTTGAAATAGATAATGTATAATAGATAATGTATAATAGATAATGTATAATAATATCAATGATGTTTATTGTTATTTACCAGTAATTGGCCAGTTTTATCTGATGTATTGACCGATATTCATTTGTAACAAAATTATAAGGATTAATATATAGTAGGAAGGGCAAGTTATGGACTTAAAACAAACTTTTTTGAACTCAATTATATTGTAATTGGTGAATTTATAAACAGAATCTTTTTTTTTTATTTCAGTTCCTTCAAATGATAATTCAGAGGCAGTTGTGAAACAAAATTTTCAACGAGAAAACTCCTATAATATTCCTCATGTGGCCAAAATACAGCCAGCAGTTCAAAATGAAAATGCTGGTGGTGGTTATGTGAGGCGTGGAGATACTGATTCTTTTAATAGTATAAACAATGCTAAACCTAGATTTCATAAACTTAAAGCTTTAGATGAGGATTTTCAGAAAGGAATTATAAAAAATGTTGATTCTCAACAAGGAGCTAAAGTTGTGAATCAAGTGGGAAGTTCAGATACAAACAATAATAACAATAACAACAATGAAAATAATAATAATAATCTGAACAACAATAATAACAATGGTAATTTAAACTTTAATAACAACAATGAAAACAATAATAACAACAACAATTTCAACAACTTTAATAATAACAACAACAATTTTCAACAACAACAAAATGATATACCACGGGTACAACAGCGTGACGTGGGGGGTATGAAATTGAATTGGGACTGGAGTGATTTCGCGATTTCTTTCAATGACTATGGAGCAGCTGAAATGAAAGTGCGAAGGGCACCTCATGCCTCAACAGGAGAACCATGGCCACTCCCACAGTATTATGTGAAAAAACAAAAGAGAGTTTATCATATTCCTCGAGACGATTTTAATTTTAAAATAGTGGGTAAAACTTGTGATATATTGGAGGAAGGGGCTGAAAGATATTTAGATCGTGTATTGAATTATGTTGTGGAGGACATGTACGATAATCTGCAGAATGCAGAGGGCACAATGGTGGATGATCCGAAAGCTAAATACATGAGTCCTCTTTACGCAGAGGCACCTGTCATCCGTGTCATGGAACTGAAAGTGAGAAAACCATGTACCAAATATCCAAGTATAAATTCGGATGAATCTTGTAAGTATTACTAAAACATTTAATTTAAAGTTACCAATGTTATTGTTACAAGTTACCAATGATGTTGGACCAAGTTACTAATGTTATTGTACCAAGTTACTAATGTTATTGTAACAAGTTACCAATGATGTTGGACCAAGTTACCAATGTTATTGTAACAAGTTACCAATGTTATTGAAACAAGCTACGAATGTTGTTGTAACAAGTTACCAATGTTGCTGTAACAAGTTACCAATGGTATTGTAACAAATTACAAATGTTATTGTAACCAGTTACCAATGATGTTGAACCAATTTACCAATGATGTTGGACCAAGTTACCAGTGTTGTAACACGTTACCAATGTTGTTACCAATGTTATTGTAACAAGTTACCAGTGTCTAAATATTTTACCTGACCAGCACTTATATTAGATAACTCTGGCTTGTTTTTATTGTCTGCACAGAATGCTAAATGTTCAATTCATCATAATCTGCGGGAATGGTCTTGTAGAGTGGTTTCATTTCAAGCTGGATCTGTGTGAATCAATTCGTAGTAACAGGATATTAAGATTTTTTGTACAATTTTATTATTAAATTGATATCAAATCTTATAGAATATGGAGATAGAATTAAATTTGAAACATCTGGATATGAAACCTGTAATACGAATTGGTCTACGAATGAATACTATGAGACGAATTGTCCCATTTTTTGGCTGTGAAATAAAAGGCGGCAAAGCAAAATGTTGAGATGAAATCCCTGATATTAAAGGCTCATTACCACTCTTGTTGTAACTGAATAATATGTCCCAATCTTTATTCTGGTCAACAAATTGTACTATTTTACAATATTCCAATTAATTGATGATACAAATTTCATCTTAACACACCTAATTTAAAAAATTGGAAAAATTCAACTAAATGATTTGAAAAGCCTGACGAAAAGCTTTTCAAATGTGACTTGGATTTAAAAATATTTTTGAACCCTTTGGACAAGTAAAATAGGATTTAATGGATAATTTACACAACAGGTAGGACACAAACACATCTAGTACTTAGAATAAGGCTATTTTTTATTTTCTGGAGCTGTCAAACCAGCAAGGGTGTTATTGTCCCTTTAAGAGTCTTGACAACGTATCTATGGAAATGGAGTTGGTTAGAGAGGGAGGTGGGCGGAAAAACAGTGTGCCTTTTTAAGAGGAAATTACATCAACCAGGAAAAGGGTACTGCCAGTAAATTAACTACGAAGGCAGGCGGGGGCGGGGGGGAGTTTTTGGTTGTTTTGTTGCTTTTTTTTCTTTGACTTCACTGGTATTTGATGTACCACTTAAGTATACTGGTACTCCAATTTTGACCAAAAAGTGCTCCCAGAATGCATCATTGCGAGTTAAATTGCACAAATTTTTTCAGACCCCTTCTAGTTAAGTACCACGCCTGTGGTGTCCCGCTTCACATTTTTTTTCAGTTATTTTTTTAGAAGACACAAAATCATGCCTGATTATCACTTGCAGACATTTTAGCTTGAAAGCGGCTTTTGACCCTCTGACGTCAGACATTGATTAATTAACCAGCGTTGACGTTTCTAGTGATTTACCCACAGTTCCGTGCATCGCACGCTAAGAACTCCATGTAACAGACCGTTTCATAGGCTAATCCCTCACATTAACCAGAATGCAGCTTATATAACAAATCCTCCAGTGTTGTGAAGTGAAACGAAATTTTGAACTATAAAAAACGAAACGAAATAGCATCTGTGTATTAGTCAGATTGGGAGTTTATGATTGACTAAATTAATGCTAATTTCTCAACTTCATTTATTCCTCCTCCTCCTACTTACACCTCCTCCTCCCATAAAAACTGGGGGGTTGGATGGCTGAATCATACAATCTGTCATTGAGTCGACTGGCGTGGTTTCAAATCCCCGGTTGTACGTGACAAGGAGTAGGGTCGCCTGTCCAACCTCGTGGGTTTTCTCCGGGTCCTCCGGTTTCCTCCCACTGCTAAAGACCCCTACGCGCAAGCGAATTATTGAAATAAAATTAAACCACATGTTAGTCCCGAAATGACCTAGTTTGTGTCGAGTGGACGTTAAACCCCATTTCTCTCTCTCTCTCTCTCTCCCATAAAAACTTGAACTTAAGAAATTCCTTACCATTTCATGGCATTAAACTCTTCATTCACTCTACCATTTCTGCCTGTGAATAATTGACAATGCTTGATGGATATAATATTTTTTTTTTATTCCTGTAAGAAGAAAAAGGTTTCTAGAAGATTAAAAGAATCAATTCTTTGAAATGAGATAGTTACAGGGAATGTATAATATAAATTGCCTTCACAGAACACATGGTTCTATGCATTTTAATGGGCAATTTTTTCACTATCACAACACAAGCCAATACATTAAAGAGATTTTATTGCTTGATAAATGAAATGGGGTTTAAAGTCCTACTGTTTTGCTCCTAAACTGGGTCACTGAAGATGGGCATACACCATACAGTGTGCTATGAGGGAAATTTTGCCCAGGCAGCGGCACTATGACCTACTCTTATATCGAATTCCAACTGCCAAGGGATCTTTTACGTGCATGCCAATTTGTACACGGGACCTCGGTTTTCCGTCCCATCCGAACGACTAGACAGCTGTCCTTGTCAGGTCCTCCGTTCTGCATCACTGACAAGGGGGAAACCACGCCGGAAAATCTGGATGAACTTTCTCGGCAAATGCAGGGATCGAACACCCGACCTCCAGGCTAGTGAGCCAGCGTCTTACCCACTTAGCCACGTGATCCCCCTTATTGCTTGATTTCTGATTATCTAATCTGCATCATTCTAGCAACACCAACGGCTTTAATTGTCAAAATTTGTCAGGTCGTACTTTGTATATCGCGGATTATCGAAATATTTTTTCGAAAAAATATGGTAATCTTTAGCATTTCATAATATCTATGAAAGATTTGATAAAGAGCTGGCAGTTTTCATTTTTATAGTTAAAAACTATACAATGTAAAGGGAATATGCTGAAAATTTCAGTCAAATTGCTTCACTCTAAGTCGATAAAACTTTATTTTAAAATCACTGTAGCCGCGATTGTCATCATTGCCGCTTTCACGATAAGTAAAGTCTCGATTATCCATTTTTGGGGTTAATCATCAATGGGCATTGAACAGCAGATTTATATCCAATGAAAATTGTTCACATCAGATAGCATCAAGAGTTGATTATGGTCTTTTCATGTTAATAAATATATAATTAATAGTCTAATATAACATTTCAGGCCAATCTGATTAAAATACCGATCTCTATTTCGTTTTGTTTTTTTATACTTTCGATGGCCTACACTACATGAAGATCTGACAAATTATAGCGTCAGGGGTCAAAAGACCGACTTATGACCCTATGATGTCAGACATTTGATTAACCAATCAGCATTGATGTTACTAGTGGATTACCCACAGTTCTGTGCAAAACACGCCTAAAGCTCGCCATGACAGACTGTTTGATTGGCTTATCCCTGACATCATTCAGAACACGAGTTAAATAACAACTCTTCCAGATCAAAGTGTAGTAAAGACAAGTAAAACGAAAATTTGAACTATAAAAATGAAACGAAATAGGATCTGTGTTTTAACCAAATTGATTTCAGGCCTAAAGAAAAACCTGCAATAGGCAGATTTACCTCTTGCATAATGCCTGTTTAAGAAAAGAAAATGAAAATATCAAGAGTAGATAATTACCGGGCTTTGATTCAATAAGGTTAAAAAGAGACACTGGCTTGTTTATATTGGATGTTCGTCATGGTGTCGTGACCGGTATCGGATTCGAACTACCAAACAATAGATCAAAGAAAGTGTACGGTATAGTTCCATGAGTCTCCGGAAAAATGATGAAAAGCAGCATTAATCAATTGATGGAACAGTTTTTTTTAAACATAGGCTATTCAGATATATGGAACAAAATGTTGTTTATAAAAACAAGTTGAATATGATAACGGCTACGTTAACCCAGGGTAAAAAATTTACTTATACGAAAATAGCCATGATCAACAAAGCTGTTTGTAATGCGTTATGGTTGTTCAGTTGTTAAAAACATTTATTTTGTGCAACTTCTAAATGAAAAATAATTTTTGTACACTGATTAAATAAATATGTTCAACACGAAGGTAAAACAATATCAAACGAAAAAGAAGGCCATGGTTGAATTGTGTAACACATCAAAGCTGTTGTAATCGTTAGTGATTGTTCAGTTGTGTATCTGTTGGGTTTTTTCCAATCACCATGAATGTGTTCAGTGTATGCTGCTATTTTTTTCCGTTTTGACAAGCCTGAGCTGAATCGTGATCCATTAACCATTTGCACAATACTGGTCTCGGTGATTACATGTATATTAACTTTAAGAAGTTTAAGAAATAGATCATTTGAAAAAAAAAAAAAAAAAATTTAATCACTTAAAATATCACTTAAATATGCATTAAAAATAACTTAATCACTTAAAATATCACTTAAACATGCATTATATAAGAGCTAAATCTGCCAATTGCAGGTCTTTCTTTAGACCTAAAATGTTATCTAAATTGTTAATTATGCAGTTATGAACAAAACCAAACCATAATCAACTCTCGATGCCATCAGATACTCGAGATTTTAACTAGATTAGAATGGCTCACCATTTAAAAATTTAATTTAAAAAATTGGGAAAAGGAGGCTAAGTCTTGAATATACCAGTGCCCTGGTTACCACAATGCAGACATCTTGCCAAAACTACAAACAGTGAAAATTTGAATGGATTAATTTGAATGAAATTTTCATTTTGCATTATCTATTTTTGAGCTATTATAGCAAGAATGGTTAGCTCTTTATCTTTAATGTAACTTTTAAAGTTTAATCTCTTATAGCAATATCGATTCATGATAAATCATTCTGTTCCATTCTGTATTACAAAGATATGGTAAATAGAAAATTACAAAACAATTCAGTGTACTTTGCCGACGGTGTTAACAAGCATCTTTTAATCCAATTGAATTC